CTATAAGATAACTTTCAAAAAATGATTCATTTCCGAAACAAAAGATATTTATTTCTAATAATATTATATAATATCAATAAAAAAATGTTAAAATCCATACCGTTAAAATCTCATGATGAACTTCATGCTCTCTCGATTGTGTAAAATTCCGATAAATATTTCTTTCTCGACCGTTTAATAGCGTCGCGCCTGTTCACGGTCAGGTTAGCCTACCGGCGCGCGCTCACAGACGAGGGGTCGGGTAGGGTCGGGAGGGATCGACCACCAAGTCAAACGACCGGTCGAGTTTGCGCAGTGGACAAAGCATAACCGCAGTACAAACTTTTTCCATGTTCGAAGGGGCAAATAACACAAGCTGTAACTGCGGTAGGTAGAATTCTGAAAGAAATACGATAAGATTCTATAGGTTGAATTCCTAAAAGCTACGATTCACTCTCCTATAGTTCTCTTCTTGCGAAATACGTTATACCTGCAAGATTCGATATAACGTCACTCACATTGCATCTTTCGATTATCGAATGAATCGTTTTACAAGCGTGACATTCTTCACGACGGATATGCGACTCAAATGTGAACACATGTTGAATTTGTTTATTGATACATATATATGATGGATTAAAATTGTTCGAAGTGTTATAATACGTATTGTGTACAGAATCGACGATGTTTATATACATTGGACACTAAACCAAGATTCGTTTACATGCCAAGACATGTCATCTGATCAACTATTACACAAATCCATGTTATAAAAAAAATCATATTCGATTGGATTACAAAACTTTTGACAGTGGTTAAAATGTTCAACGATTTGAAGGAATTTACGAGGTTTGTGATTTTTTTTTATTAAATTGCATAATTGATCAAACCTTGTTTGGACAAGAATCTATTCATGATTTAAAGAGATTTGTTTTTTGACATATATACTATCTTACAAAAAAAACATCTATAAATAATTTTTTGTTATAATCATTTTGTTGAAATTTCATTAATTCAAAATATTTATAATTCAATCTAAATTTTTTTATAAAAATTTGAAACTTGTTAATTGTTCTAATTTTAAATAATAATAAAATTTCTATAATAATTATTTTTTATAAATTCTATAGTAGTATAATTCTATAGTTGTAATAATAAATATTTAAATAAAACAAAAGTAATGGTCTTGAAGGAAATTTAACTTTGAAAAAAATCATCTGATGAAACATTAGTATTGCCAATAGCTTTTATCTTATTCTATATATGGACCAATTAATGCAAACAAATCACATGCTCAACCTTGGTCAAGAATTACAATCTCTTTAGAGTTCATTCACTTTACTTGTGGTTATCTATATACCAAGTGTTTCCAATGATCATCTTTCATATCAATATAAATCCGCAGACATCTGATCAAACTATTAACAGTCATGTTGCAAGAATATTTTTCAATTTAAATTTAATTATAAATAATTGATTAAAGTCAATAATGTTCAATATCTCAGTTTCTTCAAAAAAAAATCTGTGAGCACAGGAATAATTATAATTCAAAATTAAAATTAAATAAATTCCATGTAGCATTTACTCCACATAAAGTTCAGCTAAATTAAAATTGTGAAAATTATTTCAAGCGTCATATAAAATCAAATATTTAATTAAATGAAAATCTTGTATTGAAAATTATATATTTCTCAATGATATAACTAAACACATTAAATCTAAATATCAAAATTTCAATGTTAATGATATTTTTTATTATTGAATTATTATTGAAATTTTATTATTGATATTATTATTGAAATTGTAATTTTATTGTCTTTTATTTTTAATCATTCTTTTTTTTTTTACATATAATTTTAAAATTAACTCATTTATACATGCCTGAGTCCAATTTAAAATATTTGAAATTTAAATTAACATCATGCAATAATATAGAATTAAAAATCGAGAATGTAATTTCAATTTTAGAATTAAAAAAATTTTAAAAAAGATCATTTTCGCTTGATTGTGAAAAGTACATCAAAAAATTTGTAGCGTGAGATTTTTCATTCGTAATTGGGTTCTCGTGCAGCATATCGATATTGAACAGATTCGTTACGCTTTCTAAGCGGATCTATTCGCAAATATTTTTCCAGAAAAATGCTAGATAGATAATTTTACAATGGACGATTACACGCCCTCGTAAGCCTTCCCGATTACGAACGTTCGAACGCGTCCCATTCGTTTGTCCCTTTGTCTCCATTTTCTATTCGTCTTTTATGCTAATGTACGATTAATTAGATCAAGATTGATTATCGATTTCCTTCATGTAAAATATTTGAAAATCGAAAGAATTGATCCTAGTGATTTCAATTTTTAATAATTTAAATATTTGACTAATTAAATAGTTCCATAATTATTTGACTTAACCTGAAGATTACAGAAATTTTGAGGTTAGAATTTTTAGAATAAATAACACGAAATTTATATTTATGTTACATTATTGAATAATATAAAAATTGTAAAAAAGAAAACAATTTTGACAAACTATACATGTTATTATGATAGAATAATTGTAAAAGTATATAATAGTCGTGTAATACATGAATGTCTATAAACTTTAACTGTGAACGTAGATAACTGATAATAAAATTTTCTTTACTATAAAAGCTTTCTTAGAACTAAAAGCAGAAAACCTCTTTTCGAGGTTGTTTAAATGCAACACAGTATCATAAAATACAGGACATGTCAAAATGATTGACGTTCAAAAATATCTTGCAAGTTCTTACACGTTCTTGTATTCCAACATGTAGTAATTTAATAATTTACATATTTGAAATATCAACTATAATATTCATTCGATTTCATTTTATATCCTTTTCACAAAAATAATCACTAATAACAATAATAATATACATTTTCTTTTATTTTTAATCATTCGTATAAAAAAAAAAATTTTTATTTTCATTCTATTAAATTGTTATTTATCTCTCAAAAAAAGAGATGATGTTAATATCCAGATCTAAGGCTAAGAGAAATTTAGAGAAGGAAATGTTTGTATATGGCATGCTTGTTCTATTGTTTCTGCATCGGAATGGTAAATTGACATAGCAGGTAACAGAATTACGGAATCATGCGTACGTTAAGATGACACAATCAAGACTGATAACGTAAAGCAAACGAGAATATTAATAGAAGATGTAAACGTTCCTTCGTAACTCGCATACAAAACGGGATTTCGCTTTTATCTGCCTTTATGGCCATCGTAATTCTCTTTCAAATCACTCTGTACATTGTTGTAAATTTACGATCAAATTCTTTAAATTTATAGTTAAAATTTATACGATCGTTGCTCTTTATTTGAAAATCGAATTATGTCAATTTAAAATTGTTCATTACGTGATGGACGTGGCACGTTTATTTGATAATTAATGACAATCGAAAATAGGATATATTTTTTATTCTATAATAATTCTCAATTTATTTTCTCGCGTTGAATTATCTCTTTTCCACTTATCATTCGTGATACATTTTAAAAAGGTTAAAAAAAATTCAATCATAAAAATACTAAAAAAAATTCAATTTTATAAATATAATTTATTCCAAAATTCACCGGAATAAAAATTTGAAATATTTAAAATAACCATTGAAAAAAAAAGTGCTATATAAATGTCAATCGTTTAATTTTCGAATTTTTGGATAAAATTTCTCGATCTATAAATCGAACAACGAATTGCAGATTGTAAATATTCTATTCCAAAATTATTGAAATAAAAATTTAAAATATCAAAAAAAAGAAATAATTTTAAGAAATAATAGTTATATAAATATCAATTGAATCATCATTTTTGAATTTTCGAATAAAATTCTTCGATTTATAGATCGAACGATAAGTTGCAAATTATATAAATAAATATTCTGTTTCAAAATTTAATTACACCACAATAAAAATTTAAGATGTTTAAAAGAATTTTTTAAAAAAATAAATAAATGCAAATCGCTTTATGTTTGAGTCCTTGAATAAAATTTTTCGATCTTTACATCGAAACGATGACTCATCATTTTTTTATTAAATGACACAACGGAAAAAATCGCTGACAAATATTTAGTATCGCTACACGTAATCATTTTCGTCTTAGTCGATCATTATTTTGTCTGCAGACGTACATGTCGACGAAAAAATCGAAAGAAATAAGAAACGAACTAGCAAGGCGAGTACGAGCATTAAAGAACAGATTGAAAGTTGAATTATTAATGGGCAAACTGACGCTCGGCATGTAAATCATATGGAAATATTACTTTGCCACATTTTCCAACACAGAGAAAATATTCTATCATAATTTCTCGTGTTTCCTTCCCAGAGAAACGTATTTGTTTCTTTCTTGAATTTAATTTTCTGGCTCTTGTAACCAGTTATAACACTCTTGGGAGCGATTCATGTACGAATCGTGATCCACGAGTCCAGGTAATTATTGTCGTAATTTTATGATAATTGAATAATAAAGAACGATTATTTATTAAAATTTAAAAATTGTTCTGAGTGAAGCATGGAGTTTGAAGGTAGGATTAATTATTAAATAAATTGTGAGGTTTAAATAATAAAGAGGTTAGGTTAGAATTATTTCTCAAGAATCTTGGTTTTTTAAAAAAAAATTAATTAACGAGGTATTGATTTTTGTATTTCGAATGTAACTCGTGATTTTTCATATTTGTTTTTATCGTTAGAAGCTTCTGTTCTTTATTTTCTCGATATATAAATAGATCATGAAATCTGTTTCATATACAATTATTGCTTTCGAAACGATGATCATTTTTCATTTTTGATTTTTAAATAAAATTTGAATATAATGAAAAACAGAAAATTCTTCTCTTCTCATTTTTGATAAAAAAATCATATAGTTCGATATATATATCGCTTTTAAATTTTCATTCGAAATTTCTCTAGAAATCTCGATAATCGTTTTTAATTTAAGACAATGAAAAACAGAAATTTTGTTTCCAATAAAATATGACAAAGAAAGGGAAAAATTTCAAAGAACACGTGTTTTTGATTCGATTATATTTTTTTTTCCATTATCACGGATAAATATATCTATAAAAAAATATCATAACAATTATATACAATGACAATTATTAGCGAATCGTTAAATCTCTGATGAATTGAAAATACGTAATACGAAACATACCAGAGTATTAAAAAAAGAAAAACAGACAACAATAACAAAATGCGTGTTTCCAGCAGTAATTTAACAAACGCCATTTTGTACATACAAATCACTGAATTATAAAATGGTCGATAACCAATATGGCATCCTTTATAGTACATTACCATTCAAAAGTATTAACTACATTTTTCCACAAAATTTTCACAGATATTTTACAAATTCTACTGTCAAATTTTTCGACTTATATAATTTAATTATTTAAATATAAACAGTTTTTAATCCTTATTATTTTTCATTCTTACATCTCAATCAAACTTTGTTCCAGGATATTATTCTTTTCCAAATTTTTTTCTTATTTTTTAACACTACTCAATGAATACAGATACATAAAATATAAAAAATTAAATAAATCAAATTATATAGTTTTCGATTCTACATATTCTCAGAGACTCGTTATATTTTTCATATCATAGAAAAATTTACAAACGAGCTACACTTACGAGGTCTATTAAAAAAATTTTTTAAAATTAATCGAATGTAACTAATAATTTCGAACAGCAGTGTACACTATCTATACATTTTTCTAACAATATAATGTCGTCGCTCTTTCGCAGGCAACGAATGATTTCTCTGAATTATACAGTCTTGCGATCTCGTGAATCGTTCGAGCGCGATACGATCGAAGGAAAAAACGGAGGTGTTCGAGGTCCAAGATGGCGGCACATGATGACTCCCAGGTCCAGGCGATCGTGTATCGCGTTTCAGGCTTCCAATTCGATCCTTCCACATCCCTCCATTTAAACACTTAATCTCTTGTACTTTCTCGAATAAACTGCCGATCGTCTCGTACCCTGGACGCTCCCGTTTCTGGTCCTCTTCAAATGTCATATCACGGCTAAAACAAAGAAATAAAGTCAGTTTGCCTTTTGATACCGTTGTTGATCCATCATGATAAAATCTTATTTAAATTATACATCATTCTCGTCAAATATTACTTGATATATTTTGAATATATTGTTTATATACAGAATGTTAGATTAGAAGTGTTTGATCGTTGAGTCGATAATATAAATATAGACTCGAGATATTCGAACGAAAATAGATATCAGTATAAATAGTGTATAATTTATATTTGATTATTCTTAGTTCAAAATCTAATCTAAAAATTAACCTGTGAATTTCCTTGTGATTATATCCTGACATATTTTCTTATTTCATCTTCTATTTTCACAATTAAAATATAGTATAAATTTCATCAAACAGGAGACATCAATCCACAACATTGAAAAACCTATTCTCTCTATTAAAATCTCTATTATAAACAAAATAATAAAATGTTTTATACATTCGCATAGTCCAATTTGATCGATATGCCTCAAAAGTCATTAGATGACATCCAACGCATTCCAAAAGTTGCTTAGATATAAAATATTCTTCCAACAATATCCCGCTAAAAAGTTAAACGACGCGTCGTCGGCCAGAATTCTGAAAGCTTTCCCTTCTTGATCCATGGTTAAGGTTCTTCCCATCGACGGTAAACCGAGAACGTTAAATCCCGGCGTGTCGTAAAACCAGTTTCACCAAACTTCCTCGCTCGACCAACGACGACGATTTATCGCCGACCTTTACGGCCAGCCCTTACAAGATAATCCGCTTCGCCAAAATTCTTGATGCACGATTTTGCATGCCGTTTACACGATAGAACTTCACACCAGAGATCCCCTCATCTCGCATATAATTCTCTTCAAAGTTTCGTTTCTCCCGATCGTTATATCGTAATCAGAGAATGGGCCGATTAATCGATATTTTGCTTCGATAATGTAGAATCTGGAAGAGGTTAAGAGTTAAGGGGACTATTCTATATCCTGGTTTTATCGACTGAGAAGATTCGAAAATAGTATAAGACAGTAGACGTAGGGAAGAGTTTTGAAGGAATCTTAAAAAGTTGATGGAAATATCGATCGATACACGTAGATATATTTAAAAATAACTTGAAAAATGGATCTTAAAAATTGAAAGGAAATATCCTGCTCTTATCGACCGAGTAGGTATTCCAAAAATAATCATAAAGTGAATCATTACGATTAATTGTAACCAGAGTTGGGCATTGATTCGTTGAAAAATTAACTAGTTAAAAGTCTCGAATAAAGTTACTTTAATCTATTCTAACTATTATACAATCGATCCCTTTTTCATATAACTCGACACCACAATTATTTGCGATTATCGTTACGTTTTTAACAATAAATTATCGAAGTAACTTTATTCGTAACTATTAAATTTTACCCTTTTTTCCTACGAAGAGTAAAAGAAGAAAAAAAAATTCCTAGATCCTAGATCCTTGCACAAGATCGAACAATCTCTCCTACAAGAAACTTTCTTATTCACAAAAATTCCGAAAACGAAGAGTGAGAAAAGGATTGAAAATTTTCCCCCAATCGACTCGAAAGAAATAATAAAAAAAAAAAAAAAATAAAAATAAAAATAACGAGTTAACGAAAGAATATATATCGCACAGGACGAAGAAACCTATCGTACCTCGGCCTTCTGGGTGTCCACGCTGTTCAACGCCACAGCTTCTGCGGCAGGCTCCTCCCGCTTGTTCCTCTTCACGCCGAAGATGGTTTTGTACGTGAAGGACGACAGAAGGGCGCCACCGATGGGGCCGAACCAGTAGATCCAGTGATGGGACCACTGATTGTTCCAGAGCGCCGGTGCCAACGACCTGGCCGGGTTCATGCTGCAGCCCGTGTACGGGCCGACTGTGAGAGCGAGAGCGGCCACCGTCAATCCGAATCTGATTGGCACCGAGTCGGTGTTTTTCGCGTTCCTGCTGTCCCAGACGGCGCACGCGACCAGCATCAGTACAGCCGTGGAAATGCCTTCGAGAAGGAGGCCCTGTATAGCGGACAGCTCGGTGTGCAGATCGGTCACGCAAAACATGTCCTCATCGTCCACGTCTTTGCCTGTCATCCGACCCGCTGGAGTCACCACCTGCAACGCGAGGTTTCCGTTTTTGGTTTTATTCGTCTCATAGTTTTTTTTAAGACAGTTTTCGAGATATAATATAATTTTTTCTCACCACGCGTCTCCATGTTTCAGATTACGAGTTTCTTACGAGGAAATTACGAAGGGCGTTGATTGTATCGATTGAATCGAGGAAAGTTTATCATTTAAGTTATTTAATTTAAATGTTGAATTGAAAAAAATTCGTATTGTGGAAGAAAAGTTGGATACGTTGGGAGGCTATCTTTTCTTGGAAAAGTTCTTGGATAGATGTTATAGGTTAGGGAACGACACGTTCATTCGCATTGGATGTGTTAATTCGATGGTTAAACGTTGTGCAAGGTGTTAATATAATTATGGAACGTGTTTGGAGCGTGTTGTTTCTTGAGAGGTGAAAACGGAGGGAAAAGTTGGTATATTGGAAAATTGAGGGAGGATTTATTAATTTATAAATAATTTAAGTTTTATCTCTGTTGGTATTATTACATGTTTTTGTCCAACATTTAACGATCGATTCGTGTAAATTGTCTTTCGAAGAATTAGAATTAAATAATTATCACCTCAATTGGAAGAAATATTATCATCGATTAATCAAAAATTAAGATCTCGTTAAGATCGATTTTCCAGGCGATGAAATTTCATTAATTTGGTTAATCTATAAGAAAGTTTTAACCACGATTATAACTTGCAACTAGTTATGATTGATGTATGGCGAACATTCCCAATGGTTTAAGGTTGAAGGTTAATCGAACGAACTATCTAATCTTGTTATTATAATGGTTTAACTTTGAGCTAGTTGAGAATTAGCGTGATGGATCAGTTTTATTGATCCGATTACTCGCAATTAGTTCAACTAAGAACGTCGATACAAGCCGTTTCATCTTTTTATCTCGATTATCATTCTTCATGTATCTACAAATTTTTTCGTGCTCAATGCTATAATTTAACCGTAATATTTAATTCTTCAATTATTTAATATTTAATTAATATTTTTAACAGAATTTTTTTCCTCCTATTATATAAACAAAAAATTCTAGGATTAATTATTGACAAAAATCCATTAATTCCTTAATATTCTGTGATCTTGAAATTAATTCATCTATATTTTTTTATCTTTTTTTTTAAAAAAAAGATACATCAAAGTTCTGTAAGAAGAATTGGACAATAAAGCAATAAACATTACTTGAATCATATGGATCAATCTGAATTATTGTTATTTCTTCTCATCTTGATAATTCGTGTGTACAAAATGTACAAATATATTCGTAGAACAAGTTTGGAAGATCAATTCCAGAGGCTAAAACAAGCACGAAAGATGATAGATAAAAATGTCGATCGAAGCTTGTTTATTAAGTTGCGAGCAATTTAAATTTGCGTTAGACGAAGCGAGACAGAAATAGAGTAAGCCAGTGGAGTAACGGAGACAGAGACACTTCATTTAAACGCAACTTAAATCGTTTATAACTTAATAAATAAAACTTATAATATTTTATATTATATCAATTTACCAATTTTTCTTTTACCTTTTAAGATCAATTCTTCAAAGATATCCCACGAATATATTAATACCGTAGATAATACTTTATCGTATCGTTACGTAAATACTCGTTCATTATGTTCTCCTGAATCAGAGATTAGAGGTCTTGAACCTCTAATGTAAATATATATGAACGTATATATATATATATGATAAATGAACGTGTAAAATTCCATTCACATTACGACACTTTTTATCAAATTAACGTTGACATCTTTTATTCGATATCTTTCGTCGTTTAATGTAAGAATTATTTGTTCGTTTCGATTCGTGATAATCAGAAAAAAGATAATCAGAGTTGACGTACTAATGATACTAACCTTTAACATTCCAAATCCTAAGACTCCACCAACTACTTGAGACAGGAAGTAGACCAAACCTTCGGGAATAGTCTTCATTCCAAGCACAACCGATCCCACCGTGATGGCAGGGTTAATGTGAGCTAAACTGATGTGGCCAAGGGACTGGAAAAAGGCAAAGAATCGCTTGAGTGGACATTGCTTCGTTTTTTTGAAACGTTTAATATTTCATTCTTGAGTTATTTAATAGCTATTAACATTTTTTTTTTAATTTTTTTGTTTTCCTCCTTTTTTATTATACGATCAGTGCAAAAAATTCTTTGCAATTCCTTGATTAATTATTGATAAAAATTGCACTTCTCTTCGTAATTTGGTGTGTCCATTAATTCGTGATATTTTGTACTCTTGAAATTAATTCGTATATATTTTTTGTCCTTTTTAAAAAAGAAAAGACACATAAAAAATTCTGTAAACAAAATTAATTTACATACAAGCATCCTTCATTTTGAGATTAAAATTTTTAAAATTATAAAATTATTATTATTATTATTCGTAAAACGAATTTGCATTTGAAACTCCTTTATTTTTGGTTGGATTGATTAATATTTCTACAAGGGAATCTCGTATTGCCAACCTGAATCACAATCATTACAGCCAGGCCGAAGGTTAAGGCTATTTGGAAGTGAGAAGGAACGACACCAAGGCTTCCAACGCATCCCATACATCCAAGGAACACCAACATGGAAGTGCCAATCATCTCCGCCAGAGCAGTGAGCACAGTGTTCTTCAAGGCCCCTTCGCCGTGCATCAATTTCTTAAACCCTGAAACATGAAACACCATCTAAATGATCTATTTCCTTAGACGTAACTGCAATCGATTTTTCTCGTTTCTTGCTTGGTTGGAATTAGTGTTTTCAAACCTTTTTTCAATTCTGTTTTTCTTAATATTCAAATAAAAAGAATTGAACATAAGATTTTTCTCTGTTGTATTTTTGTTCTGTTGAAATAACGTTTCAGTTTCCAAGTCTTTTAAGAAAAATGAAAAAAAAAATAAAAGTTAAATAGTGAGAAGGTTATTTTTCTTGAAGAATATGACAACATAATTATATCAGAATAAATAAATTACAAAAATTATTTCCTTTTATAATATTTAAGTAATTAACAATCTTCTCACATGTAAAATAATATAAGATTATGATATAATATAGAGAGAATATTAATATTCTTGATATTCTTGAAGAATATAGATGTAATTGTATTAAAATAAATAGATGCTGAAGTATTATTAAATATGATCTCTTTCTAGATCCATATTGAGAATCACTGAATTAGAATATTGATATGTAAATTTATCTGATGTAACGATGAGAAAATGTTTTATTTCAAAGTGGTAAATTGCAAGTTTGATTTCATTATGTAACGCGAATAATATATAATTTATCTAACTTATTTTGTATGATACATGAAAGCGATAATGGAAAAATATGCTACTATAAAACAAAATTTATACAAATAGTTTCATTCTAAACTTTTCAAGTTCAGTTAAATACAGTTGGTTTCATTCTTCTCGTTCGAGTATTAATGATACAAAATAAAAATATTCCCTCTTCGCAAAATTTTTAAAATTCTATTAAATACAGGTAGTTTCATTTTTCTCATTCGAATATTAATACAAAATAAAAAAAAAATTCCTTTCCTTCCTTGCAAAGCAAAATTTCAAAATTCGGTCGAGTACAGGTGATTTCATTCGAATGTTAATGATACAAAATAAAAATATTCTCTCTTTGCAAAATTTCAGAATAAATACAAGGCAGTTTCGTTTTTCTCGCTCGAATATTTTATCTTTTCGCTTATAAATTTCACCGCTATAACGCTCGATGCGATAGAGATGTACTCTTTTGTCGTATGAAAATGTTTCTTCCACGCTCGTCAACATGGTAGACATTTTCCACGATGTCGGCGACGTTTATCATGTATAGGAGACACGTCAAACGACCGCTCGTAATAGCGTTCTCGAGACTTGACTCCCGACAGGTGTTGACAAGGACAGAGAGACGTTCTCGTCGAGGCTCTCGCCTTTTCTGGAGGGAGTAAAACAGCCGTTGGTAGCGGATGAAAAATTAATAAATCTATTTTTCCTCTGTCTATCCCCGGTGCAAGATATTCGACGACTCGAAAATCGTTGAATTATAAATTCTCGGACTTTTCTGGTTATTCTGAGAACGTGATACTTGGAGGAAAAAGAAAGCGTTGAAATATATACAGGAAGATTTTGTCGTACCATTTTTATTTTAGCAATTTATTCTCTCTCTCTCTCTCTCTCTCTCTCTGTTTCCAATATAATGTTTCTGTCGTAAATTTTCTTTTTTTTAACTTTTAAATTTCAATTCGCGTTCGTTCATCATCGATATCACGATTTTTTTCGAATTTTTACAAGTCCTTAATATATATTTTTGATTTACTTCGGATTTTCGTGAATTTGCGTGGAATATACATTTTTTATAGAAGAAAAATAAAAGAGGATACGACGTAATTTTGAAACGATAAATGATTCAAAATTTTCAACATAGAGAATATAACTTAAATATTTAAAATTTAAAATTTTAATAAATTCCGGTACGTGAATTTATTATACATAATCGGAAAATAATTTTATAAATTAAAATTCAACGGTATGAAAAACGATATATAATATTATATTATTATTATTATTTTAATTCATATATAATTCATATATAAAATTTTTATAGAGCGAATATTTTTTTTCCTCTGCCACGAAAAATATTCGTATTTTCGACTGGTGACACGTTTCTTACGGAAGTGTACACATCTGTTCATTTATCATTCGAACGCTGTAAATTCTCAGCCTTCACCAACTTTGTAAATAAAATCGTGAAGAAATAAATTACAAACTGCCGCCGCACTTTCATATTTTTCAATTATATTTCAAAAAAGATATTATGATGATACGCTTATGATATCTTTTTAAAAAAAAAAAAAAAAAAAAAAAAACCCTCTAAAATAATATTATTCCGACGAATAATTATTGTTCACAAAATATTCGACGAGAAAGAAATTGAATTTCTCGATTTTAAAAAAAATTTTAATCAACCTATTACATTCTTTCAATTGATTTTTTTTGTTCGCAAAAGATTGTGCTATTGAATTCTGTTTACACGCATATATCTACATGCAAATTATCGATTATTTACATAAATTATTTACATAATAATAGCAGTTGGCAGCCGATTGTGGAAAGCTTATCTTGAAAAGTCACTTCCTCGTCGAATTAAATACGTTGTAGAAATTAAATTTCTTATAAAAACTAATTTCCTTTTTTTTTTTTTTTAAAAAAAAAAAAAACAAAAAAAGACGCGTAACAAAGAAAACGAAAGATACCGAGTGCTAAAATTTTTGTTGGCATCGATATATAAATTGAGCGATACAAATTCGTTAAAAAATTGTTCGAAATGTTATTCTAATATTTAATTCAAGGTTACATTAAAATTCGTGAAAAGATAATTTCTGACAAGTTCATATGTGCATGGTCAACAACCTGTAATACAGTATACGTAGAAACAATCGATATCATTATCACGCGTACACGTGCAAACAGATAATAAAAAATGTTTTGCAAATAATTAAAAAAAAATTGAAATTCGATCGGCCGTTACCGCCGATAAAAAAAAGTTTCGAAGAAAAAAGTTTTTTCCGAAAATCGAGAATAGAGAGAGAGGAAGCACGAGGAAGAATTATAATTGTGCAGTCGTGTTGTGAATCGTTTCAGAGAGGAAGTCTTCTTACCGCAATTCCAAACCATTCCGTTTCGATGCTTTCTAACCAGCAGCACCAGTTAGACGTGTACACGGAACCACTTCCACCGATGAAATAAGCAGTGGAAGCGATAACCTGTGTTAACTTCACCCGCAAAAGACAATGTGCACATCGTAGATACACATCGATACAACTCTGTTGACAGTTGATTAGCTACACTGCCGCACGAAAATTGCTCAACCGAATGACGGCCTAGAGTAAATAACACTTTACACTCGCGCGACAATCGGAATGCAAATATGCTCCCTTCCCAATTTTATTCCCCGCTTAGGATCAATATTTTTGAAACGATATACGTATATACCTGTCCACCGGGGAGAAAAAAAATTTTAAATCCGTTTTAACGTTTTTTTAACGAATCGTAGATATTTTGAAACATCCTGTACATCAATATATATATATATATATATATACATATATCGTTAATCATATTCGTTCCCATTACCATAATACGAGACGAATAATATCGTACCGTATCGTTAAAGCTGGTTATTTTCAATAATTGTCAACTTCAATTTTCAATAAATCCTTCGTTCGTGCGAAGATAAGATAGAAAAAAAAAAAAAAAAAAAAAGATACAAAGACGCCGCTCATGACCCGGTTATTGGAAATCATGATGGTGGAAACGATTCCGCTTGAAATTTCCTGGAATCGGTTGTAAATACGTTTTACGATCGGCACGCCTCTGGAAAACGTAGAATTTCAATGGCAACCAACCGTTTTGCATGACGCCACTCAGGAATTACACTCGCGTAACGATAGATCGGGATGAGGATCGATCGTAAATCAGAACGTCGCCTTGCCACGCGCAAGGTAGCCGTGTACACCGGTGCTCGCGGAGATAACGTCAGATGCAGGAGGATCCAAAGTCACGGAGCAAATCACTCGACACGAGTCCACGAACGTTGTTCCTTATGTCGTGCGCAATTTTGCAATGCGTTGGAAGTCGCGAGATATCGACTTGCTTCCGTGTTACAGAACGTGTTACAGAACGTTTCAAAATTCGTGCTCCCGATTGAATTTCAACGGGAACGGATTCGATAACTCGATGCTTCTTCTGATTTCGAGGTTAAGGAATTTCGATCATTGAGAATTTTGGTTCGGTTGATTACAGAGTGTTTCAAAATTTATGCTTTCAATTCGATTTTGAAGACAAAGATGAGATAACGTTTTTGATATGGAAATTTTTGTTGGAAAATTGATTATCGAGAATTTTTATTACGTTTAAAAATTTTATGATTAAATTCGAGATAAAGAATGATGAAATAAAGAATGCTGCAACTTTCACGAACACGTTTCCGGCTATAAAAGCGTCGATCGTAATTATAATATAATTATATATAATTATATATAAAACTCTATAGCTTCAAAATAAAAACTATAGAGTACACGTCAACGTGATTAATCAATTAATGATCTTTTCATAAATATTTCCAATCGATACAACAGCATCCAACGATTATAAGCGTGTCAAATGATTCTCGTTACTATATAGAACGTTTCAAAATAAAAAAATTATAGAATACACACGACAATTAATCAATGATCGTTTCACAGACACGTTTTCAATCAATATAACGGCATCGAACGATTATAAATATGTCAACGACTTTCGTTACTATACAGGACGTTTCAAAATAAAAAATTATAGAATACACAACGCGACAATTAATCAACGATTCTTTTCTAGTCAATGTTACAGTATCGAACGATTATAAAAGTGTCAACGACTTTCGTTACTATACAGGATGTTTCAAAATAAAAAATGATAGAATACACAGCAATGCAATAATTAATCAATGATCGTTTCAGAGACACGTTTTCAATCAATATAACAGCATCGAACGATTATAAATATATCAATGACTTTCGTTACTACTACAGGATGTTTCAAAATAAAAAGTTTTCAAATAAAAATACGATATTTAATACAATACGATTAATTAATCAGCGTTTCACAATCATTAATTTCTAATCAACGTTACATC